AATCCCACAGGTATGGCTTCCAATCAGATTTAACAAATGGATGTCACTCATATTCCAGAATTTGACAAATTAAAATATGTACATCACACAATTGATACCTTTTCAGGCTTTACTTGGGCCACAGCCCTCAGCTCTGAAGAGGCTGATGCAGCTATTACTCATTTGATGGAAGCCATGAGTATAATGGGAAAGCCAATAAATTTAAAAACTGATAATGGCCCTGCTTATATTTCTATTCAATTCAAAAAATTTTTACAAACTTAAGACATTGAACATACAACTGGTATACCCTATAACCCTCAAGGTCAAGCAATAATTGAATAAGCTAATCATACTTTGAAAGAGATGTTGCAAAAATAAAAAGGAGGAGTGGTGTGGGAAACAGTATGACAAAAACTATCTCAAGCTTTATTTACTCTTAATTTTCTGAATGAGGCATCCTGAAGGACACACAGCAGCTGGACGCCATTGGCAAATCCAAGAATCTAAAGAGTTAGATCAACCTATTTATTATCAACCTCCACCTGAGAAAACCTGGCTACCAGTCTGCGTTTTGAGGTGAGGCCAAGGTTATGCTTTTATTTCCAAAGGCGACAAGAAGTTTTGTGTCCATTGCCTACCTAGGGCCAAATTAAAAAGTTAGCTGATGAAAGCCAATGAGTGGTTCAACAATCAGGGCAACCAGTAACATCGAACACTTTGTTTTTGGCTATGCTATTTTTAATTACTACACAGGTTAGTGAAACAAATTATACTTATTGGGCTTATATTCCAAATCCACCCTTAAATAGGATTATTCGGGGGAATTATATACTATCCCTATGTATGTAAATGATTCCAACTGGATGCCAGGCCCCTATGATGATCACTGCCCTTGTAAGCCAGGGGAGGAAGGAAGGATAATTGAAAATCATACTGCTGGAGCAGAAGGTTTACCTATTTGTATTGGATATGAAGAACATTGTCTTAAAATCACCCCCCAGGCATGGCTTTCAGTGGTTCAGAATGCCACCAAGAATGATGCCCCTAAAAGATTATTTTAAGCGTTGAAGGGTTTAAAGAATTAATTCAACCAAACAAACTAGTCCTCCCAATCTTCCGCCTTGCCATACACCCATTGTTAATCATCTCAGTGATTAGGTCCATTAGACTCAGTGCAGAGGTGTAACTGCTTGAATATTACTTGATACTTCCTATGGAAGCATCATTCATTGGAGTCCTGTGGGCTCTGCTTGAGCAAAGGGATATGGCTCTGATCTAAGATGGCACAGAAAGAATCAAAAGATCACTACTAAGAGTGGAGGAAATAAATCAATTGTGTGGCATGGAGGTGGGTTTGCCACACCTAGGCCACATATGCCCTTTCAACCTACACAGTTTCATCTATGGAAGGTGGGGGCTGCCCTTAAGCCCTTAAGGGCATGGAAAGGTAATACATGGAAAAATTAAACTAATAATCATACTCAATTATCTTTTATGGTAAATGAAACCAGATATATTCAGATCTGTGTTTGTCTTCCTTTTATGTTTATGAGTGGGACTGCTACCTGGAATGAAACATCAGCGTTGGTGACTTTTGTCAATTGTTACTTTTTTACTTGTATAAATCATACTATTATGTTTAACATGAGTTCTCATAGTATTTATATTCTGATGGGGACCACATATTGTCCTCGACTTCATGCCCCTATGACAGAAGTGTGCTTTACTAATTTAGGCATCTCTCCATCCAATCAAGATGACAATTGAGATTAACCATCACAGTAAAATAGTAGAATTGGTCTCTTTTAGGTTTTCTTTTGTAGCTTTCCTGTCTCTGAGCTGAGTCTCTTCCAAGAGAACACAGACAAAAAGGCAGCTCTTTCTTGAACAGCTAGATGGCAGGTGAGTTGGACTTTCTTCAGTCTAGCACTGCCTGCCAGCCAGCGAGTGAATGCCTAGACAGGTTCCATCCCCGTGAAAGCTGGACTCTGAGAGAATGCTTATCCATACCCTTCTTGGCTCCAGACTCTCCTGCTTCCCATACAACACAGCTGAAGGGCCTTTCCTTTTGAGTGGCCACTACTGGTCCCCCTCTTGAGTTTGCATTCAACAGTTGGGGAGGAGAGAGTTGAGGCAGCTCTCTGGCAATGAACCCAGTGGCTCAGGAAGTGATTCTCATTTCTTTTCTTTCTTTCTTTTCTTTTTTTTTTTTTTTTTGGTACTGGGGATCAAACTTGGGTCCTTGTGCTTACAAGGCAAGCAGTGGAACCACTGAGCATTTTAAAATCCCCAGCCCTGCTCAGGAATCAGAGAATTTTCAAGAGAATATAAAAACTCTGAATATTTTCAAAAATGTGCTGCATCTTCAATCTGTCTCTCCAGTTTCAGTTCCTCTTAGACTATCATCTGTTCCTCTATAAGAACCAGTTGGTCAGGCTGAGATCTTACCAATTAATGTTAGAGTCAAAGGTTTTAACATTCATCTGATCCAATTTTTTTCACATTATAGTTAAAAACGGAAGCCAAATAACAGTGTCCCTTAAATTTGGAAACTCCACTATGGATAGGATAACATAAAACTATAACCAAGACTTTTATGGCTCAGATCACAGACCTGTACCTTGTCTCCAATATATCAAGCATTTCTGACATCTTCAAAACAATTTTTTCTATTTGTCTTTGGGTGCTGTGGTCTTTCCTCCAACTCAGTAAGACATGAAAGAAGACACATAGATGAGCAAGAATGAGTTTGTCTTTTCAGAAGTCACTTAAGTTTAAAGATATGGCTGTGAAGTTCTCAAAGGACAGGGAGAAGCAGCTGTTTCCTCCTCAGAGGGCCCTTTGCGGTAAGGTGGTATTAGAAAACTACTAGGATTTTGCTTCCCTGCTTATTGCCTGCTGTTCCAAACACATAATCAATTGCCTTGGTCATCCCCATGTTTCCCTGTGTAGTTCCTTTTTGGGGGCACATACCTGAAATGCTCTTCTTTTGGCTGTTCACATGGCTAACTTCCATCTGTGAGCTCTCACCTCAAATGTCACTTCCACATGACCATTATTTAGGGTTTCTCTAAAGAAGCCCCTCATGCAATTCCCACTCCATACTCACCACCAAGCATAATATTGTTTTACTTCTTTGTTGTATGTCTAGTAGAATATAATCATCATGAAAGCAAGGACTATTTCTATCTCATTAGAGTTCCAGTGACTTTTTCTGTACTGGCACTAAAGAGGCACATTTGACCATAAATATTAAAAGGACGAACAATTGAAACATATTTGAGGGCTAAATGTCCATCTTCCACTTCTAATTTTTACTCAAAATGTTTTCCTTTGCTATTTTTTCAGGATTTTCCTGGTGTGAAGGCACTGCCAATAAACCAGGCATTGTTTTGTATTAATTCTTAACATATACACTGTTTTGCTTTTCACAAGCATTGAAGGCTAGTTGTTTTCTGTTTGCTTCAGAAAGCTAGGCCCAACAACCAGATTTCAATCCAGATGTAGGCTGTTTACAAAAAAAGTAAGATCACAAAAAAATTAATGGAAAAACTCGGGACACATAGACTTCTCTATTCCACATACAGCCTTGAAAAACCTCAGGGCAGAAAGAAGGAAAGCCTTTAGAGGGAAGTGAAGAAATCTTCACTCATGGAGGATGACTCAAGGGAAGGATCTACTCCTCCCAAGAAAGCCAACAGTAACATAATATATGAACACATCATATTTTGAAATACCTTGTATAATCATTTATCTCTCATCCACCACCATTGGGGAGAAGTCCTAGGCTGGCAAGAATATAATCTTCAGCTACAATAGTAGTCTTGGGAAGCATGTAATGTCACAAAGAGGAGAGCCCCTCTATATGCAATGGACATGGGAAAATAATTTATAACTAATTAATCATTCCTGCCTGAACATCAGTGAATTCATATTGGAGAGAAACCCTTTCAGTGTAACATATAGGGCAAGCACTTCTTTGTCCACTTATCTTTTACTTAACATCAGACAATTCATACTGGGGAAAAGTCCTTATGAAGGTACATAATATCGGAAGTCCTTTAGCCAGAAGTCTATTGCATGCCATAAATTTACACCAGAAAGCAGCCAGGGGTTTGGGGCAAAGTTTTAGAGCATTCATCTCCCATTCGTCACAGCAGAATGCATGTTGGAGACTCCTTTTGGATTTGATGAATATGGGAACATCTTTGACTGCTTATCCCTCTATCTGTATCAGAAAAATCATAGTGGAGGCAAACGCTAAAAGAGGGAAAGGTAAAGTTTATTCAACATTAAGAGAATGAACAATGGAAAAACCTCTTATGAATGTAGCATGTGTGGGAGTGTTCAGTTACAGTCCAATATCAGCAACAATAGGCTAAACAAGTTTATGTAAAAATGCCAGCCAGGCAAGTGATCCCCTTAGACACATAAAATGCTTTTGTGGACGATAATAAAGATTTGTGTTTGAGCACCTTCTAACTTCTGCTTATCTTCATGCCTCCATGGGATACCACAGCTCAATTAATAATCTTAGTTAAGGAGGAAAACGAGTTTTCAGGTACAAAATAGCAGTCAAGTTTCTCATCTGCTGTCTGATGAGGTTGAGATGAGGCAATTCAGTTTGGTAACAAAAGTACTTCTGTGATGAGGATGGCTAGGAAAAACGAAAAAAAAAAAAAAAAAGACACATCCTGGTGTTCCAAAGAAATAAGCAGGGAGTAACCTTCAAACACATCTTCTGAAGGAAAACTGCCTAACTCTTTATCGCCTGCTGTCAGGGTAAGGAGATACTCTTTAGGTGCTGACCTGGCATGGCTTTTCCTCCACTCAGGCCCACTGTCGCAAGCCGCGACGTCAGGATCCTGCCAGCAAGTCCTAAACCTGAAAGGATGAGGACAGAGAGACGGGAAGCACTTTACTTCTCATGTTACTTGCTTGCTTTATTACAGAACCTTTTCCTTTTATACTCTCCAGCTGCACGAGAGAGAGAGAGAGAGAGAGAGAGAGTACCGCCCACACGTTCCAGAAGGAAACCATAAGTACAATAACAACTATTATGGGTTACATCTGCTAGGCAACAGATCAGACCACCAGCTGAACTAGGCCATTGCTATGGGTGATGGTACGTCCATACTGTTCGGGTGAATCACAGGTCAATATGGCTGCGCTCACGTCACGTTCTTTATCAATGCTCTCCATATCTCTCTAACCAAATCAACAGACCAGTTGGATTAGTATGACTTTTTATGTAGTAGAAACTCCAAATAACAGTGGCTCATACAAATTAGAAGTTTGTGGGCTGGGAATTCAGCTCAGTGCTGCTGCCGCCTCCCTCGCAAGCACAAGGTCCTGAGTTCAGTCCCCAGTACCAAAAACAAAAGTTTGTATCTCTTTCATGTTGAAGTCAAAATCCATTTCCCGCAGTCAGGGACTCAGTTCCCTTTCTTGTCTGCCATCCTAAGGTGTTAACCTCATCTAGATGGTCCATGACTTCTTGGCTGTGATATAGCCAGCAGGGAGGAGGGTGTCATAGGAAAGATCTCCCTTTCCTCTAAGAAGCATTTTTGCTTTCAGGCCCTTGGCAAGAGCTGGGAATGAAGAAATGAAATCGAACTTGATAGGTCTAGTTAAAAGTAAGGGTGTCTACTGAAGAAAGGGCAATTGGACCTTGTGGCTTCTATTCTGCGTCATACTTAGGCTAATCAAATTTTCTTTCTTGAGAATATAAACTGAGTAGCAAATTGGCAATTTCATTGTGGGAAGATAACAACATGTTGTCTTCCACTGACTCCTAATGCTCGTGGGAAGCTGGAAACGACTTTTCAGGTTCCCGTCTCCAGGGGGGCAGCAGTACCTCACAGGTTTTTCTTGGGACCTGGCTATTTCCGTATTGAGGTAATTTCTGTAACTGAAATTCTACCTTTCCTAATTCAGAAGGATAGCATGGCGCAACCCTCCCTGCTTACTCAAAGCAAACTGAAGCAATCTGTCCCAGCTACACGGACCTAATTGTGGAGACTCGGCAGAAAGAATGGCGATGGGGGAGCATTCAGGCATTTCCCCTTAGAAGGAGCACAGCAGCTAAGCTGGGAAGTTTGCGTGGCCAAGGGGCCCGCCTTCCGGGACTACGGCAACAGGGAGTAAACATCCCAGGTGTGACCCGACCAGCAACTATCCACCAGACCAAGTCCAGGAAGAAGAGAAGAGGCTACTGAACAGTCTGCACTCGCCCACCAGCTAGCGGAAATGGACGAGCGGGCCGCGGGGTCCTCTGGGAAGCGGCGCCTAGGAGGGAGACGCGCCCTGCGAAGGATTCTGGGAATTGTAGTTCAGCTTCGAGATCTGTAGGCGCCTGCTCCGCCCCAACGGCTCTCAGTTGTCTTTGTTACTTAGCTTGACTACTCGTTGTCGGTCCCGGGTTGGAGGAGGGCTGAGCGCGGAGACTTTTGATTTTGAGTGCCCGGAAGGAGGGAGGCGGAGAGCCTCGGCGGAGGAAGCGCGTTCCCGGCCTCTCGGTGGACCCGAGCTGTCGTCCCCGGCCCTAGGCGGAGAAGGGAGTCTCAATGGATCCTGGAGGCAGAGGTGGGGAGTGAGGCGGGCGCGGTATTCGCGGGAGAGAAGGAAGGGAGAGAGGCTGCTCTCAGGTTGGGCAGGCAGGCACAGGGGGGACTGGTATCGCGTCCTCACTGGGAGAGAGCGGCATCCTGCTATTGGTCTCCCGCCGTGGTTCGAGGGACAGTCCGCTGTGTCCATTGCCCTGCTAGTCTAGGTTGACGAGAGCCCACCACCGCCCCTTAGCGCCCCGCGCCAAATCAACAGACCTGACACTTTGGCTTTTGATAATGACTTCCTTTTTGTCCTCGTCTGAAGTAAGTAAGGCGGTACGACTGAAACTACTTGACACATTGGGCAGATGACCTAAGTGAGGACGCGGGATTTGTTTACAATCCTGGTTTGCTGCGGTAGGTTTTTTTGAGGGGTGGACCACCATTCCATTGCTTTTCTAAGACAGCTAGTATTGTATATGAAAAGCCAGTATTCCCATTTAGTCTCTTTCATCCTGGAATACAACGGAGAGGAATCATTTCAGGTACTGATTGAGTAATGTTTTGGCTACTCAGCAGATAAATGATAGAAGTATGCAATTAGTTTGTGTGTCCGGATTCGAAGAGTTTAAGGGCAGAGGACAGCAGAAGAAATTTGAGGCAGCAAGAGTTAAGCACACTGTCTTGTGTCAAGGGTTTTTCTAGGAATGTCCTTTGATACCCTTTATTGACTTAGATAAAGTAGATGGCTCCTGGCAATTTCTGCTGGTTCACTGCAAGACCAGAGTAATTTTCATGGCTCCTGTCTCCCCTTGTAGGATCACTTGCTGAGGACTCAGACCTTCCTGGTGCTGGAAATGCAAAAGAAAATTGCATGGCTGATGTGCTGCTGACTCCTGGGTCCCAGGTAAGTTTAGATTTCTTCTTCTTTCTTCTTTTTTTCTTCAGTTCTTAGAATGAGTGTGTTTTCTTCCATTGCTAAGAAACTGTCCCAGCTTGATTCTAAGGCCATTGGGTTCATTCTGGTAAATGATGAGTGATGAACTTCACAGGAAATGCCCCTTGGGCAGAACTTTCCTTGGAAGTGCTTCTCCATCCACTGAGTGCACACTTACTGATCACGCTGCTGTCTTTGGCCTTGTGGGGAGATGCAGAATAATAACAGCCACTTGCCCCATCTCAGGGGAGTTTCCTGAGACAGTGAGATATAGATAAGTAAAATAATTAAACTGTGTGTTTTATTGCAGTAATAATTGATATGAACCAGTCATCAAAGGCCCTGCAGGAGGTTTTCCATCATCTAGAGTATTTGGGAAAAGTTTGAGACAAAAACTTTGAAAAGCTAGAGAGAATACATAGTTGAGGAAGAGAATACAGAAACATTCCAAGAAAGAAAACATCTTTGTCAATGAAAAAATAAAAAAGAAAGGAAAAGAAAAAAGGATGAGTCTCCAAGACATGAGAGAGTTAGAGATCATGAAGGGGTGCGAGTCATTGTATCAGGAGTGGAGCTTGGAAGAGGGCAAACCAGAGCATAGTGAGGGAAACTTGGATGTGATATAACCACATCACAGGATGATCTACACTGAGTCTTATGAAGGCAAAAACCCATGAAGGTTTTTAGAGGCTCAACAAAATGAAACGCATGGTGATTGATTGAAGACAGAAGATTGGTAAAGATGCCTCAGTAGGATCTGGCTGGGACCTGGGAGAGAAGGAGTCCCTTTGGAACAGGGGCTGGGATTACTCATGTAAGTGTTAGGTCAGACCTCAGGGCGTACAGGTGCTAGTGATCTGTGTAAAACCCTGGGAGAAAATGCCAATATTGATTTTGATCTATGAGCCAGTCACTTTCAGTGCCTTGCTGATCTGGCCCTGCCCTCCAGACTGACACATGAGCACTTAAATGAGTTTTGACGGCTGAGAGAACTAAAGCCTAAAGGAATGTCCAGCTAGTCCAGCTAGTGTTGGCAGTGCCCGTGAAGGAGGAAATCTGCACACATTATACTGTTTATGTTAATCACCCTTGAGGCATATGCCTTTAAGACACCATACACTTACAAAGCATAGTGATTTCATACTTGAAGTGTGAGAATAAAGAGTTTATTTTGCAGAGTGGATTTCCAAAGTAGGTAGTTCTTTTAACTCTGTTTAAGTGGATTACTTTACCAGTCTTTGGAATGAGGGATGTATCATACACATTAGATGCTGAATGTAAATAATTAATAGTTTACCACATGCACAAAAGTCCTATAAGATTATGATGTTCTAGGTGTCATAGCGTGCATTAAGTATACTCCACAATGTTTTCTTCAGGATAAACTTGCCTGATGATGCATTTCTCAGACTGTATATCCATTGTTAAGTGACTGTATGTTCAGGGGCCTGTGGCAAAAGTGGTGGTAAGACTTACTCATTTGCTAACAACCAGGGACTGTTTTACTATGTATCAGTCAAATTGTAGTTGTATAGAAATTATTTAAGTAGGTTAGAAAAAATTACTAGACATTCATCTTGCCAGAGATATATACATTCAAAGGAACATTTTCCCTGCTTGCTTCCTCCTCCCACACTTTTGAAGACAAACTAAACTTTTTGCCCATCATGTAGATCAAGATTAGGGTAAAGACTCCTGCAATTATATTCAATGTTTGATATAATTCTATTTCTCCTCCCCTCCGCTGTTTTCCTGCACACTAAAAAAACCCACAAAAGCTATATATATATACACATATAATATATTATATATATGTATTATATATAATACATACACACAGATTTCTTAGTAGTTTGTTTCTTCCTTCATCTTCCTTCATTGAGCTATTCAGAAACATTTATGGAGTTCTTACCTGTGGCAAGATTCTTCAGTAAGTAAAAACAGACCTGGCCTCTGCCCTGTGGAGCTGAGTGTCTAATGCAACAGACAGATGTTAATCACAGAGGCCCTTCCTCCCCTCCATTTTCCCCACAAAGGTAAAGAAGAAAGAATGTGCTATAGCTGGAGTCAAGGAATTCTTCCCCCAGGAGGTGAACCTGAGCTGAGATCTGAGGTATACATAGGATTCAAATAGCTGAAAGGCGGGGACAGTCTGGAGAACATTCAGGAACAGGAAGCAGCAAGTATAAAGCAGCACAAGGGAATATGGCACACATTTAAAACTGCTGAAAAAGACTTCTGGCCTGAGCACAGGGAATGGAGGAGGAGTATACAAGGAAGTAGAGAGCAGATGAGGAGTCAGGCCCATTAAGGCCATTGTGAAAATGACGAAGCACTTTGGGTGCTTTCATAATAATTTGGCATTGTATAAATCCATATTCTGTGGTAAACAGGAAAAAAATCTCAATTTTTTTAATACTGTGTATATACTCGGCTGATTTATGCTAAAGGGAAAGCTAGAGAGAAAGAACTTCATATTTCATGAACTTGTATTTCAACAACCATACTATAAAGAAAATATTTAATTTATAATTATATTTTCTCCCCTTTACAGTGTGTAATAAGTTCTACAGTTGTATAATTTTAATTTATTGATACATAAATGAGGAACTTGGAACGTTCAGGTTTGGCCTTGAAAGTCGTTTCCTTCCTACCTGCAGATAATATGCAGTTCCGATGCATGGAGAGTGAGAGCATGAACTACACGTATGCCAGAGAATCAGCATTGACAGGGCTGACAAAGTCATTTTGTCTCACCTTCTGTCCTTCCTGTCTTCCTTCTCCTGTGCTGTCAGTTTTACTCCTTCCCAGAGGCGTCTAGAAGGTATTTCAATGAGCACTGATGTATTGTGTTTTTCAGAAATCCTTGATGATCAGGGATATGGCTGTGGCTCTTGCCCAGTGGGAACAGCTGGATTCTCCTCAAGGAGTTATGCCCAAGAAGCCTAGGAATCTGGTCTTGCTGGGTAAGTATGGCTCCACTGTCCCCTGAGAATTTACCTGGTATGGTACCTTTGCTTCCTCAATTCCTTTGTGCTCTGAAGTACTCAGATTCAAAGATTGTTAATTTCTGTAAGACTTGAGACAGGCAGTTTCTGCTTTTCGTCTCAGGATATTTTCTTAGCACTCCTTGAGTTAGAAAGGCAGGGAGAATAACAATGATCACCTTCATCGTAGCATCCCTCTCTATTCATTGACTAAGGATGTCAGAACAAGTTATTTTTTAAAATAAATTTTATTTTATTTTATCATATTCTCCCCCTCAAGCCCCCTCCTCTCCTATGTACAAAAGCTTTGTTTCTATTTTTTCTTTATATTTTCACTTTTTTTCTTGTCTCTTCCTTCCTTTCTCCCTCACTCCTCTCTTGTTCCCTTCCCATTTGAACAGCTTCTTCCCATTTCCCAACATACATCCATCACACATTTCAGTCATTTCAGTCCTTATTTCCACTTTTGGTTTCTCACACCTGCGAAACAATGCAGTATTTAAAGGTATTTCAAAATAAGTTCTAGTGAAGACTTTTTTTTGGGGGGGTACCGGGGATCGGACTTGGGGCCTTGTGCTTGCGAGGCAGGTGAAACCACTTAGCTAAATCTGCATCCCGTGAAAACTATTCTTAAAAGAATGGTTGCTTATTGTCTCAATAGGGAGAGGTAAAAACAATTTGATTGTTTGGAACTCAAACCCCATATCAACCTTCCTACCCTTTTCTGAGCATGTTTGGGGAATAAATCCAGAAATGACTTGTCTCTTATACTATCTTTTCCTAAGACCAAGGAGCTAGCACTGAGCTCTTTACCAGACGCCTGTTGTTTTCCCCATAACAGGACTTCCAATTTCCAAGCCTGATGTAATCTGTCACTTGGAGCATGAGGAGCTAACAAGAGAAGTCTCAAAAGCAACCAGTCCGGGTGAGTGAATGTTGGAAATAGTGAAAATAAAACCTAAATGGTTGTAGCTGTGCTTGTGGAGGAGTCTTTCCAGGTTTCACAGACTCATGCTAACAAGGAAACAGAGTGCAGTCTCTCCTGGGCTTCACTCCAGCTCTGTGTTTGATGATTTATTTATAAAGTTAGAATATTTTTTAGTAAATAACCTTTTAAATAAATAACTTTACACCCTTTTAAACCATTTTTTTTTTCCAAATAAGATGAAATGGGGCCGGGGATTTAGCTCAGTGGTTCTGCTGCCTGCCCTGCAAGCACAATGACTGGAGTTCGATCCCCGGTACCAAAAAAAGCCAAATAAGATGAAATGAAGCCAATATTTTAATAGTTGTTAACAACTTGCTTAAATATAAGGCTCTAAACCAGGCCTTTTTGCATATGCTATTTAAGCTCTGCAGGTTAAATACTATGTTTTGAGTCTCAGACCAATGACTATAAATTGATCCCTGTGTTTTCCCTCTCCAGGCAGAGACAGCAGAGCAGAGCTCAGACTTTGGAATCAGTCTTCCTAGGTTGAAAGCCTGTCTTAGCTACTCACTAGCTCTATTATCTTTAACAAGTGACTTATCCTCCCTTTGTCTCAGATTCTCCAGCTATAAAATGGGAATAATTATGACTCTTAACTCAAGAGTTGTGCTGAGGATCAAATGAGATAATTCAATAGAATTGTTTAGAACAGCTCCTGGTTATATGCTAAACAAATAAATGCTATTAATTAAATATTGGTTACTGTTTTGGGAATGATGTCATGGATTTGACCCTGTTACTTCTGTCAGTTGGATTACCACAATAGACTCCCAGCAAATTATACTTTCTGCTGTCAGATCCTTATATAATAGGGCAGCATAGTGTTGCTAAATTCCCTAATTAATGGCTTACTCTGCCAGTGCGGTTTTCTGTACCTAATTTCAAGCCCTTTGTTAGTCTAGTCTACCTGTCTAAATTTTTGCCTTCCCTATTCTTCAGCTTGAACCGTAACACCAAGATAGTCCTTAGTATACTGTACTCCCTATGAGTTCTCCACAAACATTTGGAGATTTAATTTTTCACTCCCCTTACCTGGAGGTCAGTTTGTTTTAATCTTTTTTTTTTTTTTTTTTTTGGTACTGGGGATTAAACTCAGTTCCTTGCGCTTGCAAGGCAGGCCACCAAACCACTGAGCTAAATCCCTGGCCCTTGTTTTAATCTTTTCCACCTATTTATCCTTAAATCCTAGGCACTTCCCTGAATATGATGCAGTTTATAACATTGTATTGTATTGATTCATTTCACTTAGAGACTCATATGTGAAAGACCATCTGTATTAGTCTGTTTTCTCTTTCTATAACCAAATATCTGAGGCTCAATACTTTATTTTAAAAATTTTATTTAGGACACTGTTCTGGATTAATGTTAAGTGAAATAAGACATACAAGATCAAATGTCACATGATTTCTCTTATATGAGAAAAAACATATACACACACATAAAAAGCAAAATAGAAGAAAAATAGATAAGCTATAAGGAGAAGTTCAAATACTTCCCCAAATTACATATTCCCTAAGTTTTGTGTTATTATTGGTTTGGTTTTTTTTGTAAGAATCTTTCTGGTTTATGTCTTGTACCCTGACTAACTACTTTGAAGATAACAATACACAGTGTCTTAACTGTTGTTTGACATTTACTGTTTTGTTATGAAATTTTTTTCATGAAATAAAAAGTAAAAAAAAAAAAAATGAAGTATGGCTCCTGCATCTGTTCAGCCTTGGTGAGCACCCCCTTGGCTCATCACAGTGTGTCAGAGAAACAGAATAGGAACTGGTTAAAAAAAAAAAAAAAAGAGTAGGAACTGGTCATAACAAGTCATAAAGAAAAGACACTACACTCATTGGGTGGCCATACTTTATAATAACCCTTTCTCACATGAACTCACTCCTTGAGACCAGCATGGATTGCTTGCAAGGGTGGCACCTCTGTGGCTTGTATTACCTTTCTCTAGGCTCCACCCCTTAAAGATTGCACTGTCTCAACACTGCCACATTAGGTCACCAGGTATGCAGCACATAAGCCTGTGGGGGACAAACTCAAACTGTATCCAAACCATAGTACCCTCTGAGCCTAAAGGTATGCAGATTGTTTTAGCAGTGAAAATTTTCTCCCTAACTTCTTATCAGGAAGTCAGGACCTTGAGATCGATAGGTATCATAACAGTTTGGGTACAGTCAGAGGACATGGAACTTGACCTTCCCCTCCCCATGCACTGCTCTTCTCTCTTCTCTCCTCTGTCTCTCCTCTCTCTCTCTCCTCTCTCTCTCCTCTCCTCTCTCTCCTCTCCTCTCCCTTCTCTCTCCTCTCTCTCCTCTCTCTCCTCTCTCTCCTCTCTCTCTCTCCTCTCTTTAATTTGGTTCTATTCTACTCTTTCCAGTTTGCTGGGTGTGAGGTGATGGTAAGTAATTAGTGATCAATTGCTTTCTAATTACTAAGCATAATTTGAAACTGTAGATCCAGGCCACAATGAATGCTAGCCTCTAGAATTTATGTCTCACCTTGAGACTGGCAACAGATACTTTTTTTTCTTTTTGGTGGGACTGGCCTTCATACTAAGCTACATTCTTGGCCCTTTTAATTGATTAATTGAGACAGGGCCTCACTAAGTTGCTAAGTTGCCCAGGTTGGGCTTGAACTCAAAATCCTCCTGCTTCAGCCTTCCAGAGTGTTGGGATTAAAGGTGTGCACTACCATGCCTGGCTAGAGGGGTGGTTTTGAAAAACTGGGCTCTTACTAATTAGGACATAATGGAGTGGGAAGAGATTAGTGGCAAGGAGATGGATAAAGACAGTCTTTCATGAGTCTGCTGTGAGAGGCTGTAGTGAGTTTGACATGGTGGGTAATTTCTAGACCATCTTTTTCTGATCCCAGCCCTGTCTCTTCCTAACCCTGTTTTCTCAACCATTTCCCTAAGCCACCCCTGCCAAGTCTTGCTCTGTTATGCCTTTCCATTTCCTATTCTACTGCATAGAAGAATTTCGAGTGCCTGCTTACCTTCTCCCTTTATGAAGCTGTACTTCTTTTCCCAGTCACGTTTCTTATGTCCTTTTAAGATTAGAAGGCTAGTTTTGAGGGCTTTTAAATTCTTGTTTTCTGGGGCCTGGGATTTAGCTCAGTGGCACCATGCCTGCCTCACAAGCACAAGGTCCTGAGTTCAATCCCTGGTACTGAAGGAAAAAACAAAACAAAACAAAAAACAAAATTCTTGTTTTCTGTAAGCACTTTTTTCTGTAGTAGTTTTTTTTTTTTTTTTTTTTTTTTTTAACCACAGCAGTTATTTTTGTCTCAATGTAGGAAATGAAACCTGTGTATTTTTGCTTCTTTCAGACTGGAAAACAATACCAGGAAACAGAGAGCTAACTCCAGAGAAGGACTTTTCTGAAGTTTCAGCCCCTGGGGTGTTAATAGAAAGATTTCCAAAGGAAGGTTCCAGTGAGTGTGTGGACTCTTTAGAGAATCAGCAAAAAAAACATGAAAAACATCTAATAAAAGAGGTTGTCACTCAGAAGAAATTTTCTGGGGAGAGAAGTTACCAGTATGATGAATTTGGAAGTTTTAATCGGCGGTCATTACTTGTTCACCAACAGAGAGAGAGACTTCATAATTGTGATTCATTTAAAAAGAACTTAAAGCAAAATTCAGATGTAATCAGGCATGAGAGAATTTGTGCAGGAAAGAAACCTTGGAAGTGCAACGCGTGTGAGAAGGCCTTCAATTACTATTCAGCTTTTGTCTTACACCAGAGAGTTCACACAGGAGAAAAACCCTATGAATGTAATGAATGTGGGAAAGCCTTCAGCCAGAGCATACACCTTACTCTTCACCAGAGAATTCACACTGGAGAGAAGCCCTATGAATGTCATGAATGTGGGAAAGCCTTCAGTCACCGCTCAGCCCTTATTCGGCATCATATAATTCATACCGGAGAGAAGCCTTATGAGTGCAGTGAATGTGGGAAGGCTTTCAATCAGAGCTCATACCTCACACAGCATCAGCGGATTCATACTGGAGAGAAACCTTATGAATGTAATGAGTGTGGGAAAGCCTTCAGCCAGAGCACATTCCTTACCCAGCATCAGGTCATTCACACTGGAGAGAAACCTTACAAGTGTAATGAATGTGGCAAAGCCTTTAGTGACCGCTCAGGCCTTATTCAGCACCAGAGAACTCATACTGGGGAGAGGCCTTATGAATGTAATGAATGTGGGAAAGCCTTTGGCTATTGTTCAGCTCTGACTCAGCACCAGAGAACTCACACTGGGGAGAAACCCTATAAATGCAGTGATTGTGCCAAGGCTTTCAGTGACCGCTCAGCCCTTATCCGTCATGAAAGAACACACACTGGTGAGAAACCTTACAAGTGTAAGGACTGTGGGAAAGCTTTTAGCCAGAGTTCATCTCTTACAAAACATCAGAAAACTCACACTGGCGAGAAACCCTATACATGTAAGGAATGTGGGAAAACCTTCAGCCAGAGTTCGTCCCTTTCTCAACATCAGAAAACTCATACTGGAGGGAAAACCAAGGAATATGGCCAAGCCTTTAGTGAGCATTCAGCCTTTGGCCAACATAAGAGAATTCATACTGGATAAATGGCACATTCAGAATATCATCATGGAGCATTTACCATACATTCTGTGAGGGCTACAAAGAACTTTAAGACTTTTACAAAAGGCTATTGAGCAGTCATTGTTGATGTGGGGTATAGCTTATTTAGACTGTGAATGAAAGGTTTTACATTTTAAAAATGTCTTAATGGAGGACACTGTAAATTTCCCTGGGGAAAGAGGAAGTTTATTTCTAACACTATAATGTGTATGTAAGTGCCCAAACCCTTAAGAGAGAAATAGGATGTGTCATGGTGGAAAGAGGACTTCTTGGCTGGACATGGTAGTCTTACGATGTTGAGGGCCTAAAGTTATAAAAAGGCAAGTGATCCATATAGGGAAATTGCAGATAATAGAAATAAGGGATTGAGAATTCCTAATGAGTTTGTCCAGAAATGGTGAAGTTCTCCTTCACCCTTAAGTGTAGGACACAAAAGAGAAAGATGGGAAGGATAGACTAAGAGAATTGGGGCAAGAACCCAAGAAGTGTTGGTTGAGATATATTAGGTCAGTGCAGCTTCTGTGAGGCTTGCTTTACTAGGAATCTAACAGCCTAGAAGCAGAAACTGGAGATATTTTATGTGTTCAGTCTGCTTTAAGCTATCTGAATTACCTGAGAATATTTATTTATGAAGATTTACCTCAGTTCTATGTAGATTATATCTTAGTTTTTTTATACCATAGTACATTTAATTGTAGCTTTGCACTGATGTTACATATTAAGATTGTGAAAAACTTGAAAAGATTTTGAAATTCTTGCTTTTCACCATTTTGCTTGTAGATAGAGGCAGATAACTTTTGTGTATATATGTATTTTTTTAATTTAAATTTTGAAGGTTATTACTGGAAATGTAATTTTGAGTGTAGCATTTTTAATTTTTTGAAGTTTTGCTGTGATGTGTGTTGGGTTTTTTGTGGTTTTTGTTTTGTTTTTTAGTATATTTGTGTTTAGAGTTTGTTGAGCTTCAATCTGTACATTTATGTGTTTTGCCAAATTTGGATTTTTAGGCCATTATTTCATCACAATACATTTTCAGCCCACTTCCCCACCCTCTTTTTCCTTTAGTCTCTGGTGACAGAATTGTTCCACCTTTGATTGTGGCCTCATAAGTTTCAAAGTCTTCATTCAGTTTTCTTAATGTATTTTTGTATTCATTTGCTCAGTCTTCCACAACAAAATCCCATAGAAATGTATAATGTTCTAGAGGTTGGGGAGTCTGAGATCAGGGTACCCTCTGACTGAATTTCTACTTAGGGTTCTTTTTCTAGCTTACTGATGGCTATCTTCTTGCTTTGTCTTCACATAGGTTTTCTTTTTGTTTGTTTGTTTGTTTTTTGAGACAGGGTCTCACTATGTAGTTGAGACTGACCTGGAACTCACTATGTAGCCCAGGCTGGTCTTGAATTCACAGTGATCCTCCTGCCTCAGCCTTCCGAGTGCTGGGATTACAGGCATGCGCCACGACGCCCGGCCACATAGATTTTCTTTAGTGCATATACAAAGAAAGAGAAAGAGTTATTGTGCCCTTCTTGTATGGTGACCAATCCTATTGGATTTAGACCCTGCCTTTATGACCTCATGTACCTTATTTACCTCCTAAAGGCCCTCTCTCCAAATACAGTTATACTGGGGATTAGGCCTTCAACATATGAATTTTAGGGAGGCATAATTCAGTACATAGACTTTTATTCCTGCCCAGATTCATGTCCATTAATTAGTGAAAAATACATTTAGCCATTCTGTCCTAACAACCTCCAGAGTCTTAACTCATTCCAACATCAACTGTAAAGCCAGAGTCTAAAGTTTCATCTGAATGTCACCCAAATCAGATATGTGTGAAGGTAAGATTCATCCTGAGGCGTAATTCCTCTCCAGCTGTGAACCTGTGAAACCAATTTATGCACCTCCAAAATCATTTGTTGGCTTGGCATAGATTAAACATGTCCATACCAAAGGGGAGAAATAGAGAATGGGCAATGGTCCTAAACAAGCCCAAAGCCTAGCAAGGCAAATTCCATTAAATTTTAAGATTTTTTTTTCCTGGTACCAGGGATTGAACTCAGGATCTTGTGCTTGCCAGGCAGGCAAAGCACCACTGAGCTATATCCCCAGCCCAGACATTAAGATTTTAAAATTATTCCCCTCAATTTGATGCATTGTCCATGGTCCCACTCAGTAGGCTGTCCTATCTCTGACTTTGTGGCTCTTCCAGGTGGCCCCATTTCCTAGGCTTTTCAGAGTCGTCTGGCCTCTGTGACTCCAGTTGAGGTTGTCTGGCCTGTTAAAGATGAAGTGGCTGGGTAAGGCTTTGAGCCACACCCATGATCTTGTGTTCATGATTGTTCAGTCACATCCTTAGTTCTTCCTAGCTTCCTTTTTTTTTTTTGCCATATGAATAGAATGTGCCCTATCTTTTAAATTTTGCCTCCTTGTTGCTTAACATTCTATTCACCTTACTGTTATATCTCACTCTAAGCAAAAAGTACCCAAGCTACATCTTCAGTACTCTTAATTAGAAATTTCCTGTTAAATACCTAATTTCACCCAAGTTTCACCTTTTACAGAATACTAGAATATAGGTCAGACAAGTTCCTTGCAACTTTGTAAGAATCATCTTTCCTCTAAATGTCAGTAACATGTTCTTCACTACCATCTGAGTCACACCAGAAAGCTTTAAAGATCATCTGTCTAGCCTGTGCCTCACAACTCTCCAGCCTCTGCCAGGACCCAGTTCCAAAGCTGTCTCCACACGTTTAAGTATTAGGTTACACCAGCACCCCATTTTTCAGGATTAAAATCTTAGTCTTTTCAGGTTGTCATAACCCAGTACCATACATTAGGTGGCTCAAACAGAAATTTATTTCTCACAGTTCTCCAGGCTACAAACCCAAAGTCAAGTCTAGGAGGGTGCAGTCCCTGGTGCATGCACATTTCCTTGTAGATGTTTGCCTTTCACTGTGTTCTCATGCGGCGTTAGGTATGTGTGTGGAGAGAGAGCTGTCTTCCTCTTACAAGGCCATTGGTCCAGTTGGATTAGAACCCCACATTTACAACCACTTTTAACCTTAATTACCTTCTAATAGCCCATCTCCAAATATAGTCACATTGGAGGTTGGAGCTGCAACATAATAAGGTGGGGAACACAGTTCATTCCATAGTGCTATTATCTGGTCACGTTGGATACTTTGTATTCTGTTTTCAAGTTCACAGGAAGTTCATCCTGTGCTTTTGTGCTGCTGAGTTAGTTACTGACTTTTTTTTCCAGTTTTTGTATTTTTCAGTTCCACTTAATTTTTTCTGAGACTTTCTTTCCCTTTCTTCCTTCCTTCCTTCCTTCCTTCCTGCCTTCCTTCCTTCCTTCCTTCCTTCCTTCCTTCCTTTCTTTCTTTTCTTTCCTTTCTTTCTTAATTTATGTCCTAAAATCCTTACAAGGCAATTCTAATATCTGTGTCATCTCTGTGCTGTTGTCTGTGAGTTATCTTCACTCAATTTGAGATTTTCTTGGTTCTTGGTGCGATTAGTTATTTTATATTGAAATCTAGACATTTGGATAGTGGTGAGGCTCGGTATCCTACATAAGTTCTATTGTGGGAGGCTTCCTCTCTACCACTAGTAGAGGAGAAGTATTGCCTCATTACTTAAGTTGATATTAAAAGTCCAGTTCCATCATGGGCCTTTATTGACACCTCAGTAGGGGTCCTCAGTACTACTGGGCAAGGGTGGGTTTGATAGCTCCCCACCAGGCTTCTGCTGATGCCACCCTGGCTGGGAGAGTCATGAATGCCTCATGACTGTTCCTCACATGGCCTCTGCCAACACCATGGAGTGAGATTGGGGTGACCACATTACCATGGGAATCAGTACAAATCCTGACTGTCCATGAAGCCTCCACTGACACCAGTAATGATAGGGATAGACATCTTCTCTGGGCAGAATTGGAAGCCCAGTCTCCCCATGTGATTTCCATTGATGCTGTCAGGTGAGGAGGAGATGGACATGGGGTCTGATGACATGTCTGTCCCCACAGCCTCCTCTGACAGCACTCCAGGGTGAGTGGAGGGTTCGGCCCATTCCAGCCTGGTGAGGAAGGAAGTAGAGGCTTCCCAGTCAGTCTTTTTGGTGGAATTAGGGCTACAGATCTTTTTCTATAGAAAGAGTAGGCTTTTGTGCTTTCTAAAAATCAATGTTGGCATTCCTGGATTGCCAGCTGCTCCAGAAAGCAGGAAGGCAAAAAGAAGTACCAAGAAACTCACCACTGTGGTGTTCCTTAGGTTCCTTAGGTGCCTAGTCAGTATATCCTCTTCACTTTTTATGTATAATTTCCAGGACTTTTAGCTGTACCTAGAGGATTAGGAGAAAGTACTACTACTGCATCTTTTCCTTGGCATTTCGATTTGACACTGTAATATTGGTCAAGTTGTGTTGAGTACAGCCCAAAAGTCTGTGGCCCAAAAGTCAGAAGTTACTTGTAGCTACTGAGAAATGAGTACTGAAGGGACTGGTCACTGGTTCCCCAAAGACAAGCTGCCTCACTTCATCTAGCTTGGAGGGAGCCATATTATTTTAAGTGGTGAAAAAACATTGTTCGATTCTTCAGGAGGAAAGATAGATATGACTAAGAATGTAAACCATAGCATTATTTTTTATTTGTGTCTTTGTTCCAAGAACATTGAAAACACCTGGAAATTTTAATTTACAACTTTGGGATTTTTTTCCAATTATTAATTATATGTGGCTCTCTATTTAAATTTAATATGTAATGTGATATCATAGAGAACCAACAGAAAAGGGAAAATAATGAGATTTGGGACAAGTCACTTCAGTCTTTCAAATGTGTCCTGATATAGGTTTCAAAAATGTGATACCTATTTGAGATAGTGATTAGAATTAGGTAGAAAATGGATGCAAATGTGATTTGTAAGCTATCAAGTGCTATAGAACTATTGTTTAGTCATTTATATGACTGATGTCCACCATGTGTGCTTCATGATGTTGTAGCTCAATAAAAGTGACTGTGAGTATGATGGAATGTCTTTTTTATGTTTTTAGTAAGTTTCCCTAAACAGTAGTAAAGTGTGTATCTTTTATAGTAACCATGGTTTTCTTTAATGTGGTAAGTTACACTGATATTTTTTAATATGAAAGAATCCATGCATTCCTGGGATTTACCCAATGTAGTAATTTTTTCACATCTCTGGAAGAGTTTGGATTCCTTGACTGTTCAGTTGCATTCACATTTTAAACTGGGGTTGTTATATTTATAGAATGTGTTTGATTGGATTTAGGGGCTAATCAGAGTTTTCTAATTTTTCTTGAAAGTTTTTATTAAGTTCCTCTAAAAAATTCTTTTTGTTTTATTTTTTGAGATAGGGTATTATTATATAGTCCAGACTGGCCTTAAACTCCTGACAATCCTCTTTCCTCAGTCTCCTGAGTGCTGCTGTTACCGGCATGCACCACCACACCGAGCTAAAAACTTATACTTTTTTCATAAAGGTGTTAATACATTTTTATTTTCCTTTTTAGCTATAGTTGTATCCCTTTTGTCTTTCCTGATATTACTTCTTTATATCATCTCTTTCTCTTGATTCTGTTTCTGAAAGTTTGTCAATTATACTAGTCTTTTAGAATAACTAATTCTTTGGACTTTTATAAAATAATGTAACAAAGTATATTTTACAC